AAGAAGACCAAAATTCAATAGAATTTGAACCACAAATTATTAGATCTTCACTAGGGTGAATGACTAGACAATTAATACTATCAGAACATTTAGGTAATTTTACTAAATATTTTGAAGATGAAATATTGGTTTATGGCCAAAGTGTCAGTAAGGCATCATATGAACCAGATATAAAATTTGGTTTTGTCTTAAAATAATTAAGAGTAGTCATATCACCAGAATTATTAAGAATTTTCAATAATCTCAATACACCATCTTTGAATTGAAATAATTTAATTTAAGTATAATCGCCAGCAATTAATTAGTTATGATTATGATTGATTGCAATTGCAAAACAGAGTGATAATTCATAGAAAGGTTTGGATTAAAGTTCATATGAGAATTATGGTTATAACATTTTAAAACAATTAAATTAATTAACCATAAATAAATTCTAAATTTCTGAGAAAGAACAAGGACATTCATTTTTAAACTTCTCATATAATATATATAGAACCTTAATAATTTTATAGTTCATTAAAGTGTGAATAAATCAATCACTTTTAAATTTACAAATATTTGTAAGTTCTCTATCATACACTTGTTTTTATTGGATATAAATATAAAGACTTTAATTTCCTAAAATATTGTGATAAATGTTATCATTAAACAGTTTCCATTATTATAAAGTAAAACAATATTGCTTTCACTACTGTCTTATTTAAATGATATATCTAAAAATCAAGTGATTTAGCAACAATAAATTCAATCTTAGATAAAAACAATTTTTGAATGCTTTAATAATTCTAATACAAATTTTTGCAAGTTTTACATTATTCTTTTTATTCCTACAACAAAATACAATAAATTTGTTGCAAATGAAATAAAAGAATTATATTTGATGATAGAGGCTGATTTTAATATGAAACTTGTTATTTTGCAAAGACTATTTACAATATTGATAAGTGTTTTAAATTAAATGCCTAATTAAAATATATAATTGCCTTAATGAAAAGAATTTAGTCATTTATAAAAATTTCCTAAGTACGCTATAATTTATTCATTCTTTGAGAACAAGTTTTTTATGAAGTATCATTGATGAATTATCTAAAAACAGTTCAGGAAATCAAAATATTAGGAATCTTGCTTTTCGAATTCAACCCAATAGAAGTTGAAATTTATAATCTTTTACAATAAAAAGAACATTTATATTAAGTTCCAAATTTTTATTTTAATTAAAAATAAAAATTTATGTATTAAATATAATTATATCTTATTGTCTCATACAGGAGGCTCATCATGTATTTATAAATTAAAAATTCATGAAGATAAAAAAATGAAAATCACAATTCTATATATATAACAAAACAATTTCAAAAACAAATTTTTTATTTGTCTTCAAAATTATAATTTATACTTATGATTATGCCAACTATCATAATACTCATACTATTTCAACTATCAATAAATATTTCAGATAGATATTCAACTTGAAATAATTATGCATATTTGCATCTTCAATATTTCATTTTATTTATAATTGTATTGAATTATTCTCAATAAGAAGAGTAATCTAATTGTAAAATGAGTAGTTTTTAGAATTTGTTTATAAGTGAATAATTGTAACAATCTTAGGATGAATAATGAAAATCAATTCAATTATTTAGTCATTTGATAATTTAAGTAAGCAACTTAAATAACTGTTAGATAGATCAGAAGCTTTAAAGATTAGTATTTTAAACATAAAACAAAATAATAGGTCTAAAATCTGGATGAAAATAAAATATTCATAGTATATAAATTTTCGTATAGTAGACAAGATAATTTACTTAATGAATAAAATGCTTAATATGAAAATTAAATTTTTTTTTCAGATTCTAAAGAATTTTATAAAATATTTATCTAGAGTAATACATTTCTCAATATTATTATTTATTTTATAGAATTAGAAATGTTTGCATCATAAGAACATCATAAAATCATCACTATTTATAGCTATTCTTCAAGTCTCTTCAATAACTTGATAAGATTAATTTTCTTATATCTACTGAATATGTCAATATAGGCCTAATAATTAGTATATTCTAATTTTTTTGGAAATTTCAATTACTAAAATGGTATAATTCTTAAGATATATTACCTAGATTGGATAGTCCAAAATGGAAATGGAGTCTCTACTATTTGTGGATCTTCATATATTTTTGGAGGCCGTCCTAATTTTGGATGGAATACATAGATAACAAAGAATTTATTTTTATTCCCTCCTAATACTCTATCATTAAATTTCAAATTCTGGCAGTAAAATTATAATTGATCTTAGTATTGATAATTGGGGAGGTGATAGTATGGAAGTATATGTTGATAATCTCTTAGTTTTTACTGGTAGTTATAATTCAGAATGCACTTAATCCAGTATTTGTGGAAATTCTGGTTCTTGTTGGGGTGATGGTGTAAATTCAGTAAATATTAATATTAATCATGTTAATGAAAATGTTTAAATAAAAATAATTGGATATGATTATTATTGGGGGATATCTGAATTTCAAGTATGGATGCCTTAAAGTATATAAGGATGCAA